GAAAGTGCTCTCCGGAGGGATATTTCCGGATTCAACTGCTAAAGCTAGTAGCGATGACCGGGATGCGATCTCTAGAGGGGATAATGTTCGCAAGCGCAAGAAGAAATAAATTAATCGCGTGCAAGCGGGCGTAGGTAGCCACAGAGCGTATAATTTCCGCTAGGTAGAAAATTTTCTCTCGTTCTCTGTTTCTTGAGAGAGAGAGAGAGAGAGAGAGAGAGAGAGAGAGAGAAGGAAGGAAGGAAAGAAAGAAAGAGAGAAAAAGGAAAACGTGACTCCCTTCTAGAGATGCGAAACGTGGCGCGCTCACGAGAGTCTGTGGAACGAACATAATATGATCATTAAGAGGGCGTCGCCGGATTCTTCTGCCGTACGAAACTCCACACGAGGACTGGAGCATTGCTCGTAAATAAAATCTAAGAAAGGTAGGAAATCTCCAACTTAAACGTCGATTTTGCTTCGAGTCGGTACATATGATAGTCAAGAGAGGAGACGAAAAAGAAAGAGAGAGAAAGACAGGAGAAGAAATCGAAGTGAGGGTGAATAGAGAAAGAGAAAGCTCAAGAAATGGAAGAAGATGCCTGATAATTAATTGGCCTTACATAAGCTTTGCCCCATTTTTCTTCCTTGTTCCTTATTCTTTAGTGCTTCCTTCTGTCAATAGAACCGAAAATCTTCGAACTCAATTCGATGGCGGAAAGTAGAGCGATGTAAAGAACGAAGGTAAGATTTGCAAAGAGAGAAAAGTGAGGAGCGCCGTAATTTAAACGAAAATCTCGAGACGACTCTTCCATGGCTGGCGATGCCCTTAGAAGTATAACAATGATGAGGAACGTCGATGTACGAGGGCGCGCCCCTTGCTTCTTGAGACGTGAGGTTTAAAATTTCACTGGGCTATGTCATGGAAAAGCCGGTTTCGTCTTCGTTTGTGTGCACGGTGTGGGTGGATATTACAAACCGAAATTTGACCCATTCGCATATCCGTAATCCCAGACGACTTAATATCCCTTTGCAGTAGATATGCAAAAAGATTAACCTCCTACAAGCTTTTAACTGAATTAATATGTATATGGGAAGCTCGTTTTATGAGACGTCTGAAATTATTTGCACAATTCGCACAATTGAACGAGAATAAAAAGAAGAATAGATATTTATTTTATATATCCGTTAAAAATTATACCTCTATCTCTAATAACAATTTCTAAATTAATATTTCTTTGTAAACGATACTAACGTATTTTTTATTTCGTACTTTGTTGAAATAATCATCTAACAATATAATATCATCTAAAAATAAATTATAATATATCGCTGATTTGATAAAAAAATAACATTTTATAATTAGCAACTTTTCAAGAGAGCACATTTTAAAATTCTAAATTAAAACAACTGTTTAAGGAAAAAATGACATAATTCCAAATAGGATGTCTTTCTATAATTATTTTATTCTATTACTGATAATACTTCCTCATGTTATTTAATTTTAAAAAAATGTTTTTTTTTCACTAAATAATTATTGTGAACTGATAAAAGGACAAGCGATGCTTCTGCCTTTTAACGATAAGTTGGAAGAATTATAAATGTATTATTTTTTAATATACAGCAACAATAAAGAAATGTACATTTTTAGAGTTGATTTTATGTCATCATCTAAGAAATATGAATTTTTTAATTGTGTCACTTTTCTATTAAACAAGTGATATAGCGGAATAATTGATTTTAGTATCTATTGGTAATTTTCTGATAACATGTCTTCCTATTATTAATATTTTGCCAATATTGGCAAGTCCACGGCACATTTAACACGGAGACCAGACAGATTCCAACGGCAAACGGTAAACTATTTACGTGAGAAAAAGCGGCTTATCATGTCGCAAAGAGCCGAACGATGGAGAAGCAAGGCGATGTCCTTGCAAAGATCGACAGAACCAAAGCATAGAGAGGTATTCGAGCAGATAACACTCTCGAGGACGCGCGAATAAAAGCTCGACCGCTTCGAAAGAAGGATCCTGCGAAGAGTTTCTAAGGAATCGGCGTCGGGGCGCCACGACGAACCCTTTAAAGAAAAACTGATATAAAGTAATGGATTTCCAAGGTGTTCGGTAATCACGCTCGTAAAGATCGTTTGCTGGGTTTGGCGGGTGGAGACGAGAAGATCATAGAAGGGAGAAGTGAAGAAAATGGCGAGATGTTGCAATGGCGGAGGGACAGTCTGAGAGGTGGCATTACATCTGTCGATATCTCCATCACTCGTCGATAAAATAAAACTCCGTCGAGTCCATTTCTCCTCTCTTCCTCTCCTTTCTGTTTCTCCCCCCCCCCCCCTTCTCTCTCTCTCTCTCTCTCTCTCTCTCTCTCTCTCGCTCGCTCGCTCGCTCGCTCCTCGACGAAGTAATTACAACTTCGTCGATTAGATCCCATAGAAACTGCTATGCCGTTGTGTACATTGATGTGGCGCCGCTCTTGCACGCATACAACCGTTCGCCGAGTATTGACGACAGACAGACGCCAAAATCCACCCAGGATTGACAGCGACCGTTCCATTCGATTCTCGAAAGTTTCGCGGAAACTCTCGAGAAGATCCCATGTACAGTATCGAATGTTATCACGGTCGAAGTGTTCGGGAATTGATATGTGGTTCCGAGATGAAGGAACTTGGAACTGGTCAACAGCCAGATGAATATTAAACATGCAATTAAAGTCGGACATACTGTGACTCAGGGGATTTTATGTAAAGCTAACAACGTGCATTGCGGGTAACTGACCACTGCAACAGACAGTTCGGATTATTCTCGGCTTTTGACGCATCAAAATAACAGTTTTGAAAAGCGTTAAAGTTAAAACTTCGTTGACTGATATAATCAGCGATGCGATGCGTATTTAGAAGTAGAATATAGATTTCGGCAGAAAAGAAATCGAGAAGTGCTCGAAAATAGTACGACAATAGAAAGGATCAATATTTCATCGATTTTTGTTTCTCTCGAAACGCTGGAATGAATCTCGAAGAATTTCAAGTTCTGTTCGTGAGCTACTTTTCTAGATCGTCTTTGAGAGCAAGCCACACAATTGTCGAGATTATAAAAGGGAATAATACGAACGAGAACTCGTCTGCATAGAGAAAGATGTCCCCAAAGCCAGCGAAACAGACCAGAATGTATGCAGATGCGACGCAATGCACATGTGCGAAGTTGAGGTCAGTACACCTTCGCCTCCCATACTTACACATGTGAGAACGCGAATGCGCTCTGGGACGTACGCGAGCACTATCGCGTGCCCGGAGAAAGATGATGACGTATGCGTGATAATATCTTTGTTTTCAGCTCGCTCGCAATGTAGTCCGCCCTCACCTACGCTCAACTCCGCCGTTATGTATTTGCGATGACGCAAAATTCACTGCTAACTATGAACCAGTTCCGCGACGGGGTAACATTTCATAATTATGTAACGTGGCGTCGCACGTAATTGAATACTTCAGAAATATACTTCCCTAATGAAAATTAGTTCTGAAATTACATTGAATTTCGCGTTTTGCGCTCCGCAACGATCTTGATGAAAAACTAATATATTCATAGATATTAAATGCGAGGCGTTTATCAACTGCAAAATTTTAGCAAGCCAATATATATTGTAGCTGGGAGTTCGATGCTAGAGATTCGAGCTGAAAAGCAACACGCTGTAATTTCTGTAACGACCGATAAGGGTAGTTGCGTATGCTGTACTGATTATAGCCGCCCGTAAAAGAGAATCTCTTCTTGTCTTGTTAAGAAAATGTCGTTACATAGATAAGGAGGTCTAGCATTACCTTCAAGTATTACTTTTCGAAGTAGGTCGATCCATCCGAGGACTTGAAGAGCGATCCCCGCTGGTCGACATACTTAAAGCCCAGCTGGGAAATCGGTACATCACGTAAGAAACATAGACGAAGTCGTAGCGAGAAAATCGAATAAATATTTTCACTTATATGGTCTCACATATATTCGAATATTTAATATTAAACAAAGTCTTATTAACTTTTAAAAAGCTACAAATACACAAACATTTTTAGAGAGTTTTTTACTTTAAAGAAACGAATATACTAAATTGGAAAAATCTTTCGCGTGATAAAATTCGCAGAAATATGTCTCTCACTATCCACATTACATAATGTTAAAGTATATATATATAAAGTATATACATATATATATATATATATATATATACACACACACACACACACACATTTAGCAGTGAAATGCATGTCTCATCGAAAAAAACATTGTTTGATAATGGCTCTTATACATTATTAAATTCATAAAATTATATTTGAATTATTTTTAATTACTTTTATAGGCCTGCTCCTATTCTTTATATTAATGCTATTAAATTAATTAAAATACTGATGTGAATAATGTAACTCGAAAAAATATATCAGAGACTGAAATTTAGTTTATTATTTGCTAAGTGCATACGTTAATACGATTTTTTACTTTAAAACTAAGTACTTCAACAACGAAATAGATTTATTTATATTTCAACATACATAGAAATTAAATATAACAAAATATTATTTTACTCAAAGGATTGAATTACCATTGCTCTTTCTAACAATGTAAGATTGACATTTTTACATTATTGATGTAATAAGCTCGAATGGACAAAAGTTGTACCTCGTGATGTTGTACAAAACGAGATATTTGTACGTTCTCATACACCGAACGAACGAATATTTCCAATCTCCGCAAAATTCGTTCCGCATTCTCAGCGGAATCTGTTTCCACGCACCCTCCTGTTTATATTTGTCCTTATTTCGCCGTCTATATACAGTGTGTATATACGAGCCGGGGTTTCTATTTCCACAGGGACCCGCGGATGGCTTGAGATTGCAAGAAATCCACGACATTACGCGCTACGGAGTTCTTTTTCCGAAAGGTTAAACCTAGTGTCACGGGAACCGAATTAATTGCCGGGGCCGCGTTATAACGACGCTGGTGTGTCCCAAAGCGCACGGTCGGTCGTGCTCGTTAAGAATGAAAGAAACCATTCAACAAAGTCTCCGCACCGCCGCCGTCACCGCCGCCACCGCCGCCACCGCCACCGCCACCGCCACCGCCACCACCGTCGCCACCACCGGTGTGCCAGTGCGCTCTCGCAGGTCAAATATTTATTTTCTCTGGAAATAAGAAAGTTTCTCTCTCTTTTGAAATGTTTGAGACCCTCCGATCTCTTTCATTCCCTTCGCATCGCTTCACCATAACGAAGCACCGCTTTTTCCCAAGTCGTGTCGCATCACTATACTTTCCGAAGGAAACCTTTCTTGCTGCTCCACACGGTGATGTATCCCCTTCGGAAAAGCCAGACTAACTTTCGACAAGTTGAATCAGTCCGAACAGATTGCATACGTAACACGGTTTAACAGCTTGAGTTCGTCAACGACTCATTCGGGATTCTTGCCCGATTCAGGGATCTTAAAGAAAAGCACGAGCGAGCGAATTATTAACGAAGAAGCGAAGGAGCAAAGAAGAGGATTGTACACACGTCGTATGTACCCATCTCGGCAAATATTATTCACGAATTCCGTGTGCACGGCGGCGCTTTGTGTCCATCGAGCATCGTGTGCAACATCGAAACCTCTTTCTTTGTCGTCAAAGCTGTTCTTTACGACAACCATATGCTTGAAGTGCGCGAATAACGATGAGAGAGCGAACGGGATAAAATATGTATAAGGCAGGCCAGATTTATTATATTTATCCGAGCTATTTTGAGGACCACGGCGTGTATTCGGCTCAGTGCCTTAAAGAATTAACGTCAGCGCGCCCTATTTTTCGCTACATCTCCGCCGCCTCCGGGCCAGGAAGAAGACCCTTCGATCGAAAGGCGATCGTGCCGCCGTAGCACGCTGACCCTATCAAGGGTGCCGCTTTGTATCGGTTGCGCTACACGCGCGGGCATAGCGTAACGTTTTTACACCGGGGTATCCCTTTGGCCTATACACAGGGCAAAGGGAGAGAGAAGGCACCATCGGTCTGTATCGGCCCAATATCGTGCACAAAGAAGGAAACCTATCGGCGCGTCTGCCGTGCCATGCACCGCTGCATCTGGTCGTATTGTGATCTCGGAAGGGCGGCTCGAATAACTGCGAAGGCCGTGGCCAACGATAACAATACGATGATGAATGCTCGCTAACTAACGACCGTGCAGTAGCCTACCTAGGCCCACCATATTGCCGCTCAGTGCCCACCTATGCGCCACTTGAACGTACCCAGCCCGCCGCGTGAACGACGGGACAACCGGAAAATGGGTGGATTCTCCCCGTCGCGTCATCGTGAAGTAGTGAATATCTGAAAGGCAGTAATTCATTTTCCCCGTAAACAGTTCTATTTTTGCGTTACCTACGAATGCAGTCTATCACGCGCACCTTCGTCTTAAACCCGAGTCTATTTTCGTTTTAAGAAGTCTATTTTCAGGTAGAACAGTTATTGTTGGAAACCCTAGAATAAATTATGTAATGACAACACAAGTCTTGATTGCGAACCTTCGATGTATCTTCGTGAATATATATCTTCGGAAAAGAGTCTACTCTTACAAATAGATACAGTCTGGGACGAGTCAACATTTTTTGTACCATCAATTATCGAATATCCTGTGTGTGTGTGTGTGTGTGTGTGTGTGTGTGTGTGTGTGTGTGTGTGTGTGTGTGTGTGTGTGTGTGTGTGTGTGTGTGTGTGTGTGT